ATATATATATATATATATATATATATATATAGATATATATATATATATATATATATATATATATATATATTTTAATACAATAATTTTAATACAATAATTTTCATGGTAGCTGTAATGATGACAATAGTGGTGGAGGGGAAGTAAATTTTAGCGGTGGAAAAAAAATANGGGGTAAAATGGGTTAGGGGCGTTGAGGTGGCAAGCCAAGTGACATCCACCTCATCAAATATCCGTGCTACATAGAACTGAATGTCCATTTTGGACAAACTTACCGGAAAATAGATATATTTGAACTAATAGCACAACAACAGGGATATATTTGGATCCATAAGTATAACGAGGGGTATATTTAAACTTTTTCTGATAATACAAGGTTATTTTTTACCTTTTTCACGGCTTCGAAATTTCTAGTTAAGGGTAGAGAGATATCATTCATTTAGTAACACCAATCGAGATAAGGTGTCAAGTATTAGAGTCCGGAACCAAAATGTGGTTCTTTTGGACTCAAACTACACAAATAGGTGTAAAAAAAAAAAGTTACCATACTATATATAACGCTAGAAAACCTGGCGCTATACATTAACGGTACTGGATGTCCATTTTGGACAAACTTACCAGAAAATAGATATATTTGAACTAATAGTACAACGACAGGGATATATTTGGATTCATAAGTATAACGAGGGGTATATTTAAACTTTTTCTGATAATACAAGGTTATTTTTTACCTTTTTTACGGCTTCGAAATTTCTAGTTAAGGGTAGAGAGATATCATTCATTTAGTAACACCAATCGAGATAAGGTGTCAAGTATTAGAGTCCGGAACCAAAATGTGATTCTTTTGGACTCAAACTACACAAATAGGTGTAAAAAAAAAGTTACCATGCTATATATAACGCCAGAAAACCTGGCGCTATACATTAACGGTAACTGCACCGTTAATGTATAGCGCCAGATTTTCTGGCGTTATACAAAAAAAATCTGACACAGCTGATATAGTGCCATAAAAAGTGGCGCTATATGTTCTTCTAGAGCTACGTGCTCTTTCTTTTTCTTTTTGGTAATTATTAGACATATGAAATAACTATGAAATATGTTGTTGTCAATTTATTTGCACTTTGAATATTACGGACGTCATGGAAAAAAAGTGTTGTTGTCTACTCCTAAAAAAAAGAAGCTAACACTCTGTTTGGATCACTGTTCCCCATCGTTTTATAAGGGATCGTATTGTACTGTATTGTATCGTATCGTATCGTTTTATGAATACAATGTTTGGATAGATTGTATTGTTCGTTGTTGTTAAATAACATTTTGCTATTTGGTTTGACTGTATCGTACTGTACTTTAACTGATAAGTTTACTACAATACCCTCAATTATTTTAAATATTTAATTTATCAAAAATTACACATAAAAATTATTTAAGAAAATCACTTTCTACTAACTAATCACTAATTATGTCTTATATATAAATTAAGCAATTAAATTCATGCAAATTCTATCGAAATTAGTTGAACAAGTTAATAATATTAAAAATAATAATAAGTACACTATATTTATAATTAGATCATAATAATAAA